GGAAAATGTAACATTAACACAGAGTTAACTGGAGGAAAACTGGTCCATAAAGGAAGAATGAATTATATGGATTACAAGGAAAGAGGATTTTTTTTTCTTATGGTGACCCAATTGTACAACAACCTAAAATGGGTATGTCTGGTGGCAGTGTTTTAAAATGTTCTTATATAGTATAAACCTGTTGGCATGAATATTTTAAAATGGTTCCTCTTAAATTTGTTGAGGTGTGTTATTTGTTATTTGGTACTTTTTATTGCTGTAGTTGGTGATTTTCTGTTGTTTTATACTTTATTGTATATTTTAATTTTACTGATAATTGAATATCGGCCTTATATCATAAGATAGAGGATTTAATAAAAATACTTCTTTATGAATATATTTATGATTTCTTCTAGGATGAATGGAAAAATGAATAGATTCAACATTAATGGATATGTGAATACAGCTATTATTGAATGCCAACTGCTGCTAATTTTTGTTCCAGATTTCCTGGAGAAATTTGAAAAGGGTCAGACTATAGATGTGTCAGTGTAATATTCCAGACTCTCATTTTAAACCAAAACCACTGAAAAAAAGCTAAAATCTGGACTATCAGTTCCTAAATCAAAGTAGAAGGAACCATGTGGGGATGGTTATCTCTTCTTGCTTAGGTTGGATGATGTCCCTTGGAGGTTGAAGAGCATTTATGGATAATCAGGAATGCTTATGACATGAGGTGTGTATTAGTTGGAGAAATCAATACACCTGTACTTTTGGATGCTGTGTTGTTAATAAAAAAACCTAAACTATGTCAAATGTTACATAGATTGTATGATTTGAAGATAGTTTGATAGAGAAAACAGAGTGAATGAGCAAGTTATAAATGGTGAAAGATTAGACATGTAGATGAATTGTATAGATTGGTAAGTCATTCAAAATGGGGAATTGTGGGGAAAATAGGAGGAGGGAGTAATATTAGGTAAGTTTGCTATCTTGACCTAATTATAAAGAATAATAAAGGTAAGATAAAAATCTAAGCAATAAAAATAGTGAATGAATAAATAAATAAATAAAATGGCTGTGTACAAGACCAGATTTCTGGTCATTTTGTTATATAGAAGTGCTGTAATTGTAAGAGTTGGCTTCTCATATCCACTTTAGAAAAAGTAAACATACTTTGAACTTAACCGATCTATTTTTTTCTGCTTATGAAGATTTCATGAGGATTGACCTATTTGTGATGAAATTTAATTAGCCTAGATGTTTATGTCCTTTATACTTCTTAAATCCCTGTGTAACGTTCTGTCTTTGTTGTAAATGTTTAATTTAACATTCAATTTTAGTCTTAAATTTCATTATTGCACTGATTTATATTTTTAAAGAATTCAAGGAATAGAAAGAAATATACTGACATCTACGGGACACACAGAAAATTGCAGGCAAATCATGTTTTAGAAATGCTAAATGCTTGATTCTGTTTATTTGTTTATTGCTTAAAAAATAACTAACCATCTGGCTAGCCAGGATAACATATTGAGTTACTAAATCTGATTTGGCAAGCATTTTGCTGAGTTTCAGCTATTCAAATAAGTAGCTTCAATTATTAAGAATGTGCAATAATGAATAAGAAATGTTACCACAGACTTTTGGCAATCCAACCTCTGTAATAATCTGTCTGACACTAATAAAAATAACATTATTTTAGTTTAATCTTTAATGATGGGAGATTTCTGGATAAATATGTGCTTAATGTACAGGCATATGATGAATGTATCAGTCACCTGCTGGATCTGTATACAGTTGATCTTCTGTACAGGTAGTTCTTGACTGATGAGCACAACTGGAACTGAAATTTTGGTTGCTAAGATATGCAGTTGCTGAGTAATCATGTGCCTGGACCAACTTTAAGACAATTTTTAGTATGGTGATTAAGTGAATCCTCCTTCTCCAATTGACTTTACTTGATGGAAATCATCTGAGAAGGTAATGAATTATGACCTTAAGTTTCTGCAACTGTAGTATTGGTTGCCAGATTTGGTTGCCAAATACCCAAATTGCAAACATATGACTATGGAAGTGGTGCACTGGACTGGAGCAATAAGCTCCAAGGATGGGTCATAGTCACTTTCTGGCCATCATAACTGTGAATCATTGTTAAATGAACAGTTATAAATTGAGGACTATCTACATATAAACTTTTCCCAATTTGGACTCCTGCAGATGTGTTGGTTTGTACACAGTATTTCATAATTCCCATCTCACTAATTGGTGAGATGGAATATAATGTAACTGAATCACACCAAAGATGTGAAAGATGGTCTAATCCAACTCTACTTATTCTATAATAGCTATTCAGATTTTCATAATAAGCATATGAGCAAGATATATAAGCAATAGTTTTCATTTCTGCTTTTCTCTGAATTCTCTATTCTAAAACAAGCAAATCTAAATATTACTGGTGGCTTTACCTATTATCTATTTGTTTTGTTATTTTTTTAACATGAAATAGATACTTATTGATGCCAATGGGTTAAGAAACAGCAGCCAGAAAAGACTTTGCATACAATGTATGATGAGCTGCTTCCTTTTATTCTGTGCCTAATGACAATTTGATTTAAGGAATCACTTTTGACTGCAAATCAGATGAAGCAGTCTGCAAGAGAATACTGTTATCAATTGCTGCCCAGCAACTGAAGAGGGATGCCAATATTGGTGAAGGAAGGAACAAATGCAAACAGGACAGTCCTCCTGGCCCAAAGCAGCAATTTGCTTCCTTTTAAGAATAAGTTTCATAGTTCTTTGCCTCTCATGTCACTAGTCATGATTTTGCACCTATGCATTACCTCCAAGCATCTAACTTCCAGCTGTTTTATTGTTTACATTGCTGAAGCAATACCGGAAAAGTAATAATTCCTAAAGCATTATTTGCTTATTTGTGACAATAGCCCAAGTGCCCTTCTTGACTTTAATCTGAAACAAGATATTGAACATGCTAAAGAATTCTACCCGTGTTAACCATTTCTAGAGTCATCAAATAATGGAATCTACATACCCAAAGCTTCTTCCAGAAACACATTCATGTTTTAAGCTGCCATTGAAATCTATATTATTACCAGTAGAATAATTAAACTGACATTATTATTAAATAATTAATAATTAAATAATTAAAGCCAGACAGCTGACTTTCTTTCTTTTGATAGAAATAGAATTGCTAGGGAGATCTATAGAATATTTTAGCTAATTTTCTGTCATCTAGCTCATATATCAGCATTCTGTAAATAAAAGGTTACTTTTAAATGATGTTCCTTGATAACACTTCATATTTAATCAGAATAGCTTTTTAAAACTAGCACGAATTGGAATCAATCATTACAGTACTACCAGTATCAGTATATAAAAAAAAAAGACTTGCCATCCCACATCATCTTCATTTAGAAGTAGTAAACATGGACCTCATATCCATACTTCAAACATAATGGAGACTGTATTACAGCATACTGAATGAAGGATATGACTGAACTTTATACATACACAGAATTCCAATATAGATTTTTAGAATTAGTCATAAGAAAAAGATTGAGCTAGCAATTATGCTGATTTGACAAAGTGGGATAGCACATAGAATTTTTTTTATCACAATATCAAAAGAAACCTGAAGGGACAAAGGATCAATCTTGGTTACTCTACATCATGATTCAAGATGGGAAAGGGTGCAAAGGCAGTCTTGGAGTTCTACATGTACTTTTTAAGCTTTGTCTCTTTATCTCTTTCCCTTTGTGGCTTCTGTCCCTGAAGCCAAACATGTTCTGAAGGCCTAAGCCTTTTAAGACATCTTAGCAGCTGAGAGCTCCTGATGAATACAATACAAATTATGGCTGCCATTATGTTATTTTATGCAAATCATGGGATATTATGGGTATTTATATTATATGCATTTTAACTAATCATTTAACTAATCATTTAACTAATTTTAATCCCATTTTATATTGGGATGATTTCTGATTTCTGTCAGACACTGTATGACTAATGATAAAATAAACATTTGAAGTACATATTTAGAAAGGACATGTACATGAGCTAATAGGAACTTCTTTGTCAGAATTAGAGAGAGATTGCATTCTTTTCTTTATCCCCCAAAATTGTTGAGCTATAAACTGTCTGACTGAGCTGCTACAAGAGATCATAAATAATGTGAAGCTGTTGGCAGCATGTGGGATTATGGGGAAATAGGATTACAAAAGCAATGAAAAGAATAACATGCAAAAGAGCAAATATTCAAAACTGCAAATGATTTTTTAAAAAAATCTGAATTATTTGAAGAATGACTCTGCTGAACTGAACATTTTGAACATGGCGCCCAAGTAAATTGAAGAGATTGATGAAAGAATATATTTCCCAGTGAAAGCTCTCCAGAATTTTCTCTTGCCTCAGGGGAAAAAACAAGAAAATCCAGTCTTTAAAGAAGCTCATTATTGTTTGATTCTGTAAACTACCACGATCTACTAACATGTCTACTGTAACAAATTTATATAAAACAAAACAATATAGGCTACTGCTTCTGTAATGGGAAAAAATATGCTTAAAATCAGGGACATAAAATCTTTAAAATTCCCCAGTTACTTAGAATTAAGCAGTACAGTATTTTATTTTACCTATCTCACAATGGTTTTGATAAGACAGGAAAGCATACTATATGGTAACTTGAACTTTTTTGTAATAAAAAACCTCATTGATTAATAGTCATCTACTACTGTCATTTTCTTTGTCTCTGGAATCTTTCAGACCAAGCCAGATAAAATTTCCATTATGAAGTTGAGAGTAAATAATTTGCTTACTGTTTCTTTAATGTGAAATATTTGGAATTATTTTAGCCACATTCAAGCTGTGTAGTTCATCCTGTAGAACTTTTTAATTTATATTTTTCTAATGAAAAAGAAAAGCTTTTTCTAATCTTATAGGGAAGAACATTAAGCTTTAAAAATTATGCACAACCAAGAGATAAATCCAAACCACTTCATTACCTCTTCTCCTTCTTCAATATGGTAATCTTTCCGTTGGTTTGGTCCACCAACAAACATTATATTGAGCTGTCGGTGATGCCTGCAGAACAGTATTTTTTAAGCATCAACTTTTTAAATATTTCATACGCATTGCTGTCTCTTTGTCATAGCAAAGAAAAAAGTGGCACATAACAGTAAATGTATTTTGCCTTAATGTTAATAACCATAGACAGCAGCAATCACATAAAAACATTGAAAAATTAAGGCATAAAAAGATTCAAGTATTTAAAAACTGCAGAAAAGTGAAGAATGTGAGGTTTTTTGTTTTTTGTTTACTAATGGTGCATTGCTCCATTCAAATCAGAAGTAACTTCCATCCTGAAGTTTCTTTTCATGGACAATTGGAAAAAACAATACTTGCAATATGTGATTCTTTGCTTTTAAGTTTCTTCGGAAGAAAGACATCTTCAAGTTTACCTACCATATTTTGTTCCTTTTGTATTAGTCTATTGAGCATTAATGGGGTATTATCCTTATTGAGAGAACAGAAGCAGGTAAGTGAAGATGAGATAATCATGCAATCTACAAGCAAAATTCAACCTAGATTGAATTCCCATTGGAAGCTCATTCAGTTAGAATGCAAAATATCCATATTTTTGCTATAACATTCCTATGCTTCTTCTGGTTTATGCATTTTTTGTGCCACTAACTTTTTTGGCATAATTGTATGGACTTGGGAAGCTTACGTGTCTGTTTTTGATTAACTAGTTAACTATGTTGTCCAAACCAAACAGCAGTTACTGTCAACTCAAGGGTAAGAATCTGTAGTGCACAAATGCTTATGGCAACATCTATAAGTTAAACATTCCATTAATTCAGCAAAAAATATTGTTTTGTTTGTTGGAACCAATATTATATATCTTTTTAGAAAATGATACATGCTTATGATCAGAATACAAAGTTGCAACGTAAGAGGTATGTATGTGTGTGTGGTTGCTTTAGTGATTCCCTGAAAAACAGTTGTTTTGCATATTAATTTGTCCTGGAAGTATTATTGTTTGATTAGATCTTTAGACAATATATACTAATTTAATTTCCTACTTTTTCTCCCATTAAATAAACTGATTTAACTGATAATATGACAATAAATGTAACAGATTGATGAGTACATGAATTAGATTTTTATACAGCACACTCTGTTATTGTTTAAAATAAATATGTAAGCTGTGCAAGAATAGAAAAAAAGGAGACAAAATGTAAGTTTTAGGCAGGAAAAGCTTGTAACTTTTGCTTCCAGATGTCCTTTTTGTTTTTTTATCTTTCAAATACCCCCTTATCATCTTCTTCATACCCCATTCTAGATTATAACTTTTCTAACAAATAGTTGGAAAAGAGTTACAGAAAACTTAGATTTGGAGCTAAATAATTGTCAGGATTCTTTATGTTAAGGGCAGTTTTGTTCTAGAACTTCAATTAAGAATAACTTTTGCATCATCATATCTAAATGTGTAAGTCTAGATGCATGGATACTTTACTTATAAACTTGTACAATCTACAGACTATTTTGATATGAAAAATGCCAATAGCTTCTAGATTAAAACAGTACTTCTAGATCTAGAATGATTGCTATGGGTTTTTGTTTAAATTAGAATCCAGAGTTATCATTTATTTATTGATAAATTTCCAAATATAAAGCAACCATTAGGCTAGCTTAGCAAGAGACCAAAGCGTTGTCAGAAACAACTTTATCCTTGACTTGTACAAATCTTTGAAAAATTAATAGTAGTAGTAGTAGTAGTAATAGTACCCTTCACTTACATAAGCTTATTGCATACTGGCGGCAGGAAAGCATCTTTGTTTTCTTCTACCCATTTCTTTACATTCACAAGTGTGTCCTCCATGACTTGATAGCAATATGCTCCAATTTACAGGAACTTACTAGGTCTGGCAACTGTTTTATATGCAAATGAGTGTCTCTGTATAATTGGAATGAATTGGGTGTATGACAGTGCACTCTCCTCAGCTGATGAGTTTAAGATCCAAAGATTACTTAGCTGAAGGGCATTCTCCAGTTTAGCCAATGATCAACTCACACATGAAAAAGTACCGTATGTCTTAGTTATCTTCCTCACAGAAATTTGTTTAATTTTAATAAAGAGAATGCATTGGTAGGGTGAATTATTTTTATGTTGTCTATTCACTCTCACACATAATTACATTATTAATATCTGGCCTATGTATAACATGACATTTCAAGATAAAATGTTTTTAAAATCAATTTTTATTTCTATCAAATATAGCTTTCTAGAACTTGTGTGTATGTGTGTATAATATATATTTTCTGATAAAAAAAAGCATACCAATAAAATTTAGATTTTATGTAAGTAAAGAAATCTTGCTTTACAAAATATTACAGCTGACTTTACAGAACATGATTATAGAAACATTTATAGAACATGATTATGGAAACATTTACAGTAATTGGCACTAACTTGTTAAAACAAAATTAAATAAGTAACACAGGATAAAATTATTGGAAGCTACTAAAAATGATTATCATTATAGTTTGATTTGTTATGATGGATCCTCTATCATCCTAGAATGTACCCAGAAGTTTTCATTACAACCAAGCAAGCCTCTTGCTTTGAGGTTTCATGGTCACTTTGGTTGACACTGCAAAGTCACATTTGATTGCAAATGCAGAAGAAATAGTTTGTAGAGCAGGGCCCACCAAACTCGCGGCCCGCGGGCTAGATGTGTCACATGCTGGTCCCATCCCTGCCCGATTTAGGAAAGGGGGGGAAAGTCCCAATATGTCATGTGATGCTGCCGTGACAATGTGAGTTTGACACTACTGTTGTACAGCATAGACAAGTGTTTCCCCATAAGTACCACGTTGCATCTACTATCCTTTTCCTGTCACTCCTGGTTACTTCACTCCCTTATTCGTTCTCCTTACAATTAAATTAATGAATCCAAATAGCAGAAAGATCCAAAAGTTATTGTTATTGTTTTGACTGATGTGATTGTTAAATAGATCAGTTTGAGTTGCAGAACATACTGCAGTTACTACACCTTTTTGTTATAAGCTTACTCAAATATGACAGGTAAACCAAGTTTATAGAAGAGATAAACTATCATCCATAGAAAAAAAAATTATACATTGTTTTCTATGAAGAGGCAGACAGGAGACCAAGATGGCATTTCACCATGAAAAGATGACAAGTACATTATGCATATGAAACAGTTATTAATTCCTCCCATACTTATTTTTGGCCTATATCTCTTGGGAAACCTTGGAGAGTTGTAAAAAAGCAAAGTGTTAATGCTTCAGCAATAAATACACATATAACAAAAGTTATTCTCAAACCAACCTTGACTCCAAGTGACTAAATCAATGCAATTTTTGGCAGTATTATGGAAGCATATTTCCTTTTTTTTCTAGGACCCCCCCCCCCCCCCCCACTTTTCTGGTCTATCTGATTCTCCCAGGTGGTCCCACATCCACCTAATAAGACCAAGATGATTCTAAAATAGAATTAATTTGATTTTTTCTATTTCCCCACTGATTATTGACAATATGATTTCAATTACTTGCTCCCTGGCTCTTATAGCAGCAGTGTCTGGTCTTCACTGACTTTGCTTTTAGATCAAGCTTTAAGAATTTAGTGTTTTTGTTTATACAGTAAATTTTGAGTGTAAAACTGCAATTCATAGAGCAATTTGCTCTGAGTTAGTAGTAAATGGCATCATTTCACAGTAATAAGGCTGACTGCACTAGAGATTATCAGCATAAGTGCTTCAGTAACCCTCTCAAAATTAAAGGGTGTGGTAAACTTCCTTGGTAAACTTTTTTGACAACTGTTTGGGCTTGAATGTCTGTAAGCAAAGGAAGCCTCCCCTTTTGCTGTGTGCTTTTAAAAGCTGAATTATGGATCTGAAGAAGATGATATACCCTATTAACAGTTTGAATTATCAATACTCGCTTTTCTGCCAAATATGCCTATATTATGTTTTATATTGTTAAAAGATATAAGGAGATACACATAGGGTGAACCATAGATACACTTTTTAATTTCTTGGGCATCTTGAGGGACAAAAGTTTCCGTTGTTATTTTCCAACTGAAAGAAATTTCTAATCTGAGAGACAGTTCAGTCTCGTTTCCTTTGTTCCGCCTACGATAATGTACTCAGACCAGGGAACGATCCTAACGCACCAACCCAAAGACGCTGGAACGAGAGCAGTCGATGCCGATCATGAGCAAAAGACAGCGCCCCTCTAGGTATTCCGTGCCGGCTAGATGGGGAGAACCCCAATTCTTCTCATTCCTCAGCGGAATTTTTTTATCCCCTTGCCTTTCTCGACCACGACTTCCACCCGTTCCCCCCCAAAAGACACAAGTCCCCTCAAGCTTCTACTTCAGCGCCCGTCCCATCGGCCGGCACGTCTTTAGGGTCTACTTCGCGTCCTGCTCTTCTCCTACCGGGGAGATAGTGGTCAATTACAGGCCCCAATCCCCACCCACTCCCGTTGCAATGGAGTCTCGCAGCGTCACGGCCGCGCCACGGCCTAGTAACAGCCGTCTCCGCTAAAACAAAGCGACGGTTGAGGAAGGGGAGAGAGAAAGCTAGTCGGCCGGCAAGAAATGGAACTCGTTGCTTCTGCGCCTCTGGTGCGGGATTTCTTGTAGCCCGGACATTTAGAGTAAAAAGAGAAACAGACAGAAACGAAAAAGAAAGAAAGCGCGTTGAAATGGCGTCCGCTGCGGTTGAGTCCTTGATAAAGCGTTCGGGAAGAGTTGATGTCAGGGCTCCAGTGGCGCAATCGGTTAGCGCGCGGTACTTATACAGCAGTACACAGCAGAGCAATGCCGAGGTTGTGAGTTCGAGCCTCACCTGGAGCACAAGTCTTTTGGGACCGTTCGCTTTTGGGATATTTCCGTGCATTTATCTGCAGCTCGCTTGCTACGTGCTTTCACCGATTCATTCTCCGCGGACAGCTACCAGGCCAACAACAAGCCATGAGAATTGCAGTAATTCAGATGCAGAGGCACTAACTTTAAAACTGCTTATCAAACTGCAAGTTACTGTTAAGTGAATCTTTTTACAGTAGTTGCGTTTAAGAACCAATATGTTTTCAGTATTTCATATTCATTATTCCAGAGCAGAAATACTTATGTGGTTTAATTTCATTTTTAATTTATGTGGTTTAATTTTAATTTTAATACACCTAACTGTTTTTTAAACAAGACATTACATAGGATCTCATAGCTAGATTCCAATTTTAGGTTGAACATGTCAATGGAAAAATTAAACCCATATTGAATAATGAATTTTCCCCCAGTGAAATCCTAGAATTAAAATGACCTTGTATGTTCATTTACAATTGTTACAAGAATAGTTAAAATAATAACACAGGGTAGACATGGTTAAGCTATGTACTTCAGAACACCAATGTCTCTCAAGCAATCTAAAGATGTCTACGGTCAACATTTGAGAAAGAATACTTCATTGTTACTCTTTTGGTAGATTTTGGATCCATTCAATTTTAGTAGCCAAATAAATACTTTATCCATGAAGAAATGTTCATAAATGTCTCCTCAAACAGCACGTTATAGAGAAAATTATTAAAAAATATTTTTTAAGAAAAAAATTGGATGATTATCCAGAGTATCTGAGTTTTGAAAATCTTACCACTATTTCTTTCAGCCTGTCATTATGAAAGGACATTTTTAGCAACAAGTATTAATGTAGGTGGATTCTTTTAGAGTCAACCAATTCACCCCCAATATTGATACAAGTACAGGTAATCCTTGATTAATGACTGGTTGCTTAGCAACCATTCAAAGTTATAGTGGACCTCTCCAGAGCTACTTATGACCAGATTTCAAAGCTCCAACGGCTACATCGTTCTCCCCTCCCCAATCATATAATTGCATTTTGGCTGTTTAAACTAGCTTGCATTTAGGGCTGTTTGCAGCATCCCACAGTCTTGTGACTGTGATTTTTAGTGTTTTCACTGGTTTTTGACTAAAAATGCCCACTGAGGAAAATGGGTTTGCCTACCAACCACCTCATTTGCCACTGCATATGCTTAATGACCATAGCGTCTACGTAACAACCATTACAAAAAAGGTTCCAAGCTCAAGCAGTCACCCACTTAATGACAACCACACTCTGAAGACCATAATTCCAGGCTCAATTATGGTTGTAAATCAAGGACTACCGGAACACATTAAGATATCTAAATAATGCATTATGTGTAGCAAAATAATTGTGTGGATGCAGTCAGAAATCAATTTTGCCTAGAGCAGGCCTGAATATCATGTAGCACTCTTATGAAACTATTGGTGTTTTTGGAAAAATCAATAAATCTATCACCACCGAACACTGCTGCTTCCTCAAAAAAACAAATGATTGAGCATCTCCAACACCTTCAGGCCTTGGCAACATCATCAACTGTCATTACTCCTATATGGGTAGTCTTCAATGCACAACCACAATTGGGACTCGAATTTCAATTGTTTGAGGAAAGTGGTCATTAAGCAACCACACAACTGCTTTACTTAACGACAGCAACCCCAGTTCTCCAAGTTGTGTGATTAAGCAGCTGTGCAGGTCATTAAGCAGATGAATGAAAGAGTTGTCTGTCATAAGCAGTAGGAACTCATACGCTGGGCTGGAGAAATGGATTTCCATGTAGTTTTTTCACTCTGTCCTCTTTGTGTGCAGAAGGGAAACTCCTGCACTGAGCTGGAAAAACAACATGGGGATTATGAAGAACGTTGTTTGTTTCTCCAGCCCAGTGCATAGGATCCTTTCCCCTCCCTTGTTTCTTCAGCCCAATAATGGATTCCACCCCACCCTTGTCCAGTGCATGGAGAAATATTTTGGCAAGTGGCAGCAGTTTGCAACCATCTTTCCCAATGACTTTTTCAAGAAGTTAGCAGAGATTGCAAATAGTCATCACAAGATCACAAGACACTTGCCAGTCGTAAGTGTGAA